AAGGTTAAGGATGACTAGTTCTAAGTGTCAATTGGAGTTGGAGAGACACTTAGAGTAGTTTAGGATTTTGTTTTTCCTTTGGCCATACTGTTAAGGGGGGTATGGACGAGTAGCTTAACCTAGGTGAGTCTAGTGAGTTAGGTGTGGTGCACACTTGCTAAGTCTAGCACTAGGTAGCTCCAACAAAGCCCTTAGATCCTATGGAGCAAACTTCATTCACATATGATCGAGAGTTGGAAGTGAATGGAGGGTCAAATACTGACCGGACGCTGGCTCCGGTGCGACCGGACGCTGGCCGCAGGGTCCGGTCAGTTCATTTGATCAAGGATTGGAACTTAGGTTGCAAGTCTTTTTGTGCGGTAGAATAATTGGAAACACTTTCTAGGCACAAGGGGTTAATTGGGCTAACCATAGGATTCAATTATTGCAAAGAAATTTAGAATTAGCCCAATTCACCCCCTCTTGGGCATCTTGATCTTTTTCACCGGTGATTCATGAATCAAAGCCCCCAGCTGGGTACCCCAAAAACACATGCCCCGCTTATACCCTAGGCACAAGCAGGACTAACCCATCACCCTCCTGTCCTAGGTGTCCAGGTCCTCATCCAAACTTGGACTCCAAGTCTCTACTTCTGAGTCCCGGACTCAGTACGGTGCAAGGACCTCTACCATCCCCGCCTCCAATCAGCCAGTCCAGAAAAAGCCGGATCCATGACAAGAGAGTAACGAGTCTTCCCTGCGACCATGCCCAAGTATGTGCTCGGGATAGTAGATCTATGACTTGCCTCGAGACTTAGGCAACGACCGGTCCTTAATTGACACAGACAGAGAAAAAGTGTGACCGAGCTATACCCTGTTGGCCGCAGGACATAACCCCTTACACCCACCAGTACCCAAACCATATCCCTGCCCGGTCACCATTTTTCCTTTCCACCATTTTTTCATGAGTGATCATATTTATCACCTATTTGTGAGTAACGACAGGTTACTCACGCTACCGATATCCTAAGCATAGCAACTACTCGACCTTTACTAGTAGGACTCATGGGTAGATATATTTATGCACGTAGTTTCTATAAAAATGCCTGTAACTTAAATGCACATCATATATATATATATATATTCAATGATAAAAAATATGGGTTATGCTCCGGGGCTTGCCTTGGGCAGGCGCCGGGTCAGCAAAGTCAGCACCAAAAGGCTCCGGGGCTCCCTCCTGCATGAGGATCTCCTCCTTATACTCCTCGATGACTTCCTTGTACTCCTGTTCATCGACAGGCACGAACTCTACCAACTCATGATCTATATGCATGAAATGATGATGCAATACTTAGTAATATAGCAACAACAACTCTTAAAATAAAGTGCATCTGTCTAACTACTAAGCTAGTGCTACCGACCATGGTACTAAGTTATCTATTGTTACCAATAACAAGTATGAAGTATGGCATACATTATTATAACAACTACCGGTATTCTTACTACTAATGCTGATTTACGCTACATATGATAAAGTAGGGATAATAACTACTCTATTTATTAACCTACTCTAAGGCTATAAAATTTACAGCAAGTACATAATAATCTAGTGAGCCTATTGTAAAATTTTAATAGCTATAGCTATCACCTATTTACCATAAAAATTCCTACAATTATTAATCTACATAATACTAAGCTTTTCTAGTTGGAATTTATGAACCTACTATTGTCACAGCTAACTGTAATCTAAATACACTAACAGGTGGATAGTATTTTTGTGAACCTAACAAAATTGGTTTTACTATTTTTAGACAACTATACAATTTACTACAATTTATCAAAGTTCAGCTAGAAATTATATTGAATAAACGTTTATAATTCACTGGATAATTGAAAAATGAATTCAACCGTGCGGCCCGCGAGCGACGGCTCGGCCCACCTCAACGTCTCGCCTGCGCACATGCGCAGCAACCGGTGCGGCCCACTCAGCGGCGCGCGACGTGGCCCACAATACGCGGCCCACAGCGGAGCCTGCGCGCGGCTGGCGATTTAGCGAAGAAGCCTCCGTTCTTAACCCTATTCACAAGACTAACCCAAGCACTATTTAAACGAGTCATTGGCTTCGCATCTAGGACCCTACTTTTATTCAAATTCATGTTTTACGTAGCCCCTGGCCGAACTAGCAGGGCCGCGACCTCTCCGGCACTCACCAGCACCCCCATGAGCTTCTACGTGCCACGCGCAACGGATTGAGGTAACAAATGCCAAGAATGGCGCACCACGCAGGCGTGGCCACGTGCCGCGGCGGGGTCTAGCCGTGGTAGCTCGACGCCGGTGAAACCACCTAACCGTACGCCTCTACTGCTACTCGGTAACCATCTACAGGCTAAGAGTAACCACCTTGAAGCCCTAATTGAATCACTACTGCGCCCAACCGAGCTGGCCTCAGGAACGACATCTAAGCCAGCTCGTCGGCGACCGCCAACGCGCTCCAGGCTACCTAGCCACTAATTGGCTCAACCGCCTATCCTAGGAGCAAGAGGGCCTTACCAGCGACACGTAGGACGGCTTGGACGAGGTCGCGGGGCATGACAAGGCGACTGGCCACGTACGCGGGGTCACTCTAGCTCCCGGCGAGAGCGGCGATGACGTTCCCGGCGACCCACGGCTCCGCTGATGAAACCACTATACGAGCGAGGTCACCAAGTCAATCACTGCGTAACGCACAACCTAATTGAAACAACGAAGCACCACACGACGCCCAGGCCGTGCGCCCGCTTTGGCAGCCATGGCGGACTGCCGCGAGGGGAATGCCCCGCCTCACCTCACTATAGGCCGAATGAACGTCAGGACGACTCCAATCGAAAGCTCATTATCCGAGCTCGTAGTGTGCACGGTTAATTGGAAAACGGTGGAGTATGCGAGGCCAATTGCAGGGGCGGCACCTACGTACTTATGGCGGCCGGCGACGGCAAAAATTCAACTTGACACCCTTCCCTTGTACCACCGCAACAGTGGCCGGTTAGGCACGAAACTGTCCTTCCACTCGACCACCAAACGTGCTCGGAACACGAAAAGGGGGCTAGCGCATTGGTTGGCTTTGGCGCGGCTCGGCCGGCCGGCGACCCTCCAGTCGATGTGACTATAACTTTTGGCGTGGCCTCGCGCGCAAGCGTGAGAACGAGGCAAGCAGGGCAAGCCCACGTGCGCGCACAGCCGACGTCAACGGGAGCAGTATCTGGACGGTAGCGCCGGACGGCGCGCAGTGCGAGCGACGCGACGCAATGGTGAGCAGCAGCTTTAGGCGGACGCGATGGAAAGGGCCAGAGCAAGCAGGCATGGTCGGGCCCAGCGCGCACATGTCGTGTGCCAAAGCACGACGGCAGGAGACCCTGGCCGGCAGCACAGAGCCAACGTGCGGGTGTGCACGCGCAGGCGCGACGGCGGCCGAGGCGGCATGGCCGAGAGCCGGGCGGTGACCGCGCCCTAGGCGCTAGCATTGCTCAACCCATGACTTGCACGCTTTTTAAAGCCGTTAAAAAACCCAAACCCAATGATTCAAGAGTCAAACCAGCTATTCTACACTCAAGACGATACCTAGGGCTATCGGAGTAAGCCAAAGCATCTTACCACTTCTTAACCCGATCGTTCTACAAAAATTGCCGAACGTAGCTTCGTCAACACATTGTCTGACGTGGGAAATTTCTGCTAAGTCCTAACGATTACGCGTCGAATGCGATTTTCAAGTTACCCGATACACTAGCTAGCGAACCCCGTCCTCGACTGCACGTATTTTATCGTTGCCTACGAAGTTCATGCTACAAACTTTATCAAAGTTCGCATAACCGTTCTATACCATCTTTGTTCGATAAAAAATCACTTAGAATACTAAACGATATAAAACGACATGAAATGTAACATTTGTTTCTTGTTTCGGATGAACGTTTCAAATACCGTATGTTGATTTATACCCTATATTACACCCATGTACAAACAAGCATGATGCTCATGCAGTGTTTTAGCAAAAACTGTACAATGTAACACCGAGAGTGTTATAGTTACTAGCTTTACGTATTGCGTTGTATTACATTTCCATTACTATACTGTCATGTGGGGCCGAGTGGCCAGAGACTGTAGTGGCACATAAGTGCCCAAACCATCTGCCGTGTCCGGCAATACTCTTTTGATTCGGTAAATCCAAGTCGCCAACGCAGAGGGCTTGCCCTGCCGGCGTCCTCGTCCCGTACCCTTATCGTGCTCGAGAAAATAGGAATTTTCCCTTATGGGGAGTGGGCTTCGCTAGAATGCCCTTAAGTTTGTGGGCTTCGCTAGAATGCCCTTATGAAAGGTGTGTTTCACGTAATTTTGCCATTTCGTGTTTTTTCCAACTTTGTAAATTTCTGACCCCATCTTTTTGACCAGGCGTGACCGTTTTACCCCTGTCTCCTTCTACCTTATCCTCTTACTCTGTTTCTGACGGTCACGGCAATTTCTCCTTTCTCCCCCGTTCTCTCTCCGTCTCGAACGGTGTTCAGGCGGGAGCCCGCCGCCGGCCGCCGCCGCCCATCCACGCCAGGCCGCCGTCGACAAGCCGCGCGTCAGTCTTCTTTCTTTTCCTCTCGCTCTCTGCCTCCATCAGCTCGAGCCGCTTCCTTCCACCCACCACCTGACCTCCCTTCCCTTCCTCCCTCCTCCTCCTCCTTGTTCCCTCTCAGCAGGAACGCCGCGCGCCGAAGCGCCTGCTCCCGTTGTCTGCCTTGCCCGGCCCTGACGCCCAAGTCGAGGAAGCTCCTAGCGCCGACACGGACGGCTGCGGCGAGGGCGATCGGCGGTCGCCGAAGCTGACGCTGAACGGAGTGGAGGAGTGGGACGGCGGGCCGCGGCAGGCCAAGGACCGGCACCACGATACTACTGGGCTTTCGACGACGCGTGGCCCGCCGACTCGGGTCATCGTCTCGCGATGCGCATACGCATCGCGCGGTGCTGCCTATGTATGGGTGTCACTGAGCGCGTGCTTGTCTGATGGGCTTGGCAGATTCCGACGCTAACGAGGAGGAGGAGGAAGGAGACCACGAAGGCGACGGTGGCGGGGACGGGAGTGGGAGCAGAGGCGACGACGACTGCGACAGCCAGTCGTCGCAGAGCGATGGTGTGATGGACGAGTAAGTAAACCGTGGACCGCCCCCTTTCTCCTGTCTCCTCCGCCGTCGCCTGCTCTGCCGCCCGTAGCGATTGGCGGTGTCCTGTCATCACGTCCTCGTGCGCCAGCTCCCGTTCGGCCGTCCGGTCAAGACGGAGTGAGAACGGGAGAAAAAGAAGAAATTGTTGTGACCGTAAAAAACAGAGCAAGATGATAAGGTAGAAGGAGACATGGGTAAAACGGTCACGTCTGATAAAAAAAAATAGGGTAAAAAAATTATAAAGTAAAAAAAAAACGCGAAATAACAAAACACGAAAAAGGGCACTCTGACCAAGCCGACCAACTCAAGGCATTGTAGCTAAGCCCACCCGTAAGTGCAAAATTCCCCCACAGCATGTCGCCGGCGACCTCCGCCGCCGCCGTTTCCACACCCGGTGTCCTCATCCACCAATCCACGTGGACCCTGCGACCCTTGCCCCCCGCCCACCTTCGCCGCCTCCTCCCCTCGGGGACCGCGAGGCCGCTCCGAGTCGCCACGGTCAGTCGTCGCCTCCCGGTCACCGCTCAGAGTGCCGGCAGCCCAGGTCAAGAACCCCTGCCCTTCTCCTTCCTAATCAAGATTACATTCTGACGCCTCCGTTCGGCTCGCTGGGCTTCTTTTCTTGGTTTGCCGCTGATTGCGCTGCCTCGCTCGGTCTTTCTCAGGTTACCTGCCCGAATCGGAGTTCTACAAGATCGAGGCCATCCTCAGGTGCGTTTGCTTCACGAAGTTTTCTTTCTTTATTTATCGATTTGTGATGAGTCCGGTTGGTGGATGCCGATTGCTGAGACGTGCGGAGTCTGTGTAGGCCGTGGAGGGTGCCGCACGTGTCCTCGGTGAGTCTGGCGCTGGGTTCTTGAGTTGCACAAGACGCGAGCTGTTCAGTTCAGTCAGACAGGTTTGGGGATTGGATTCTGCAGGGCTTGCTGGAGATGGGAATCAGAGGTGTGACGGTGTCGGACGTCCGGGGATTTGGGGCGCAGGGAGGGTCAACGGAGCGCCATGGAGGTAAAGCCTTGCCTCTACCGCTGACTGTGGTTTGCATTGTAGTTTCTGCATCCCTTGTGTTTCAGTCCTACAGTAACAACTGCTCTGAAACTTGTTCCGCAGAGCCAGTGATGCTTTGGTCACTCCTGGTTGACAAAAAATGATACTAGAATGACCACTGACTGCCATGTTTTGTTGTATGGTACAATTTGGATCAATCATTGATTTGGATGAAATGATCAATGCTAAGGCTGCAGCAAAATTTCATTCCAACAATAGGATCTTTATGTGGTCAACATCCTTTCCATTTCAAACAGTTTTTTATTCAGAGAGGCGCCACCCAAGACTTTTCAGATTATTAGTTTCAACTACTATACACATGACACACCATTGCGACATTGATTCATGCTTTTACCGAATATAGCACCAATATCTTGATGGTTGGTGCACAGGCATGAAACATGTGTACTAGCAGGATTGGGGGTGGGGAATGGTTCTGTGATGGCTTTAGTGTTCATATCCATAACAGCTAACAACACTTTTGACCAATTATTACAGATGAGAACATTTTGCATTCCTGCACCATTGATCAGCTACGATAACTCTTACTGATGTTGAGAAGAATATGAGATTCATATGGCTTTCAGATATCAATGCTGAGTTGCTGACGCTTGTTTTGGCCTTTGGGTGTTCAGGGTCAGAATTTTCAGAAGACACATTTATTGCTAAAGTCAAAATGGAAATAGTGGTCTCCAAAGAGCAGGTGATTGCTTTATTTTACTGCTTTGAAGTTCTACTTGTATAAGAGGAGAAAACTGCTCTGACATACCTTTTACGAGAGATTGGTGTCATTTATTCCTTTTATATTTTCGCTTATAAATTTCTATGACACTGTTAAAATGTTGTTGCGATTCGGGGCGAATCTACATGTATTCATCGGGGTTGTCTGACCCCGGTAACTTTCTGAAAACTCATTAAAAGTTCTTTTATCCACCTGCAAGTTACTCTTTCAAATAGAGAATTTAATACATCTTTGATCCTGAACACCCCTGGTTGCGAATTTGCGATCCATTTTGTATGAGTTTTCTCAGGTTTCTCTTGAATCGTAATGATATGGTTAAATCCACTAGATCGAAGCAGTAATCGACAAAATAATTGAAAAGGCAAGAACCGGAGAAATTGGTGACGGGAAGATATTCTGTAAGTGCACTGCGCTCCTTGTAACCTGGTCGAGTCATGCTACTGGGTTTATCTTTATCCTAGTCCAGGACTCCTGCATGACTATTTTATTTTCTTTTTACCTGCAACATCTTAGTGCCTACTGTTCACTTGCACGGCCGCGTGGGCCTTATTGCCTTGTGCTTATGCAGGCATATACTATGGAATATTAGGATCTTTCTCTTGTTCTACTCATTTTTCTTCCACTTATTTTATTCAGTCAGAAATAGAAATGCTGATCAGTTCTTGCTCTTTTAAACTGCTGATTGGTTTCAGCATTCTCAAATATACGAATTCTGTAACAGCAAAGTAGTCGTGCCTGAGCTAGCTGCCTAGCTCACATGCTTAGATGGTCTTTAGGATCGCTGCCATATCATTCATGCACCTGCAGTATTTTGACCGACGACGACAATTTTCTGACATGGTGTTTTTCTTCATCAGTGATCCCGGTCTCGGATGTGGTAAGAATCCGCACCGGCGAACGTGGGAAGGAGGCTGAGAGGATGACTGGCGGACTGTCCGATAGGCTGTTGTCCTCTGTGGTGTCGATCTCGTGAGCTGAGCTCAGCTGCCTGCCTGTGTCAAGTGTGCATTTCCTGCTGCAATGTCATTGATCATGCAGTGTGCACTGGGCTGATCAATAAAATTTGCTGGAGTTCATGTGCATTCAGCTTTTGAATGTTGATGTTGTTTGTTTACCTGTGTAAAATGTAAGATGTTGCGAGTTCGTCAAGTGGGGACCCCTTTTCTTAAACTGGATGCTGTATATATATATATATATATATATATATATATATATATATATATATATATATATAACTTGTTGGGCCCAATATGTGTAGCCCAAGTCCGCTACAAGACGATTCTGAAGCTTATCTGGCCTGAGTTACTAACAGTGGGGGCTGCAATGAGCTTGAATTAGGGGCCCAACCGCCCAAGCTACACACAAGATCAGTGGATCCATCTGTGCTGTGTGTGGAGGATGATCCAATTTTTAGCTGTCGGCCGGGTCCAGGTTTTCTTCCTGACTGCAGAACCAGTTAACCACACACTCATACTTTTTTCAACTAATAAAACCATGTAAGTTACCTCCAAATGTGTGTGTGTGTGTGTTTTTCTGATGACGTGGCATCGATGTGTCGGTGGTTCCAAAAGTCATCATGGATAATATGGTAGTTCCGATCATCATACATGGACGACGGTGTGCATTGGTACACACGGTATAGGCAGCCAAGCCTAGCTATATGGCTGAGCTGAGCTGAACCTACCCAGTCACCATGGATGATGCAAGCATGCACACAATGCAAAAGTAGCTAGCTTTGCACTCTCTAGCTAAGCTATAAGCTAGCTGCACGCACACACGCAGAGCAGGGGAGGTCCGGTCAAGCAAGCAAGGAAGCAGAAACAGCACATCCGATCCACTGTTCGGCGTACTACTACTGGCACCTTTATTGATGTTTTGCTCCCCACATCGATCTGCCTCTTTCAAAACCCAAAAGGGTCTTTGTTGAATTCAACTGATCAATCACCACCTCCTTTTTCTAGAGAGTCAAAACGAACTCGTCAAATAATCCCAGCAAATTACGACGCATATATATGATCTATATCTTTGCTGCTGCTGTTGCTGGTGTGGATAAGGCAGCGAAGATCCGATCCTATACGCGTTGAACTAAAGTGTCAAACTAGTATTCAATCTAATCTCGTCTAAATTAAATTAAACCAGCTAGCTATGTGGTAGCTATATATAGTATACTATAGCTCTATTAGGGTTGGCTCTCTCTAAATCTTCTTGTTATGTTATTGTTATGTTTACGGAGGCAGCGTGGTGATGACTAGAGAACACGGTCTAATAATAAGTGGCATCATGCGTGATTAAATTTGCTATTCTTTCACCTTTCTATCTGCCCATCTTCATTGCATTTGACTTCAGTTTATTTTGACTTACCGCAAAGAAACACGGCATATGAGATATTTCTACTCGGCCCAGTGATTGATCACTATTATTTTTTGGCTTCACCGGCTCTGACTTCTTCGTGTACCATATCAAAAAAAAAAAAAAAACCATGGCCAAACAGGCCTTAGTTGACTGAATTTCGCGCACGACTTTAAATTGACACCCCCCTTGGCTCTTTCCGGCGGCTTTCCATTTGGAGTTTTCACTTCCATGAAATCGAAATGCTCCTAACAAATCTCCATTTGTCAATAAACACATACCATTCTGCTGATTACATCGAGCTAATGATCCACGTACCATGCATAAATTCTGGTCACTATCTCATCTCTGGCATCTGGATTGGAAACTCTCACACTCCAAACAATTTCAACGCCCTAATTAAAGCATGGACATTTGTCGATCTATCATCTCGTCACGTACGCATGGGCACGTCACGCCGGCTAGATATATCACACCATCCCTGCAGCTGACAGATCGATGGATTACTACTCTGCGAGACGTCAATGACAACAACACAGTTATTAGTCGATCCACGACGACGACAGATGACGGTATTTTGGTGAAAAACGTGTGGCGAGCAGTACGTGTGTACGTACACACACGCACTGATGATGGACAGCACTGTTGGTAGTGGAGTGTGAAGGAGACTGACCACTGACGCGTGCCGCTTCGCTTCACCTTTGTGGGGTTCTAGCTATATATACTAGCCTTTGCATTGCCTTTCTGATGCATGATTCAGTCATTCCTCTTGCAGCTCATGAGCCAAGCAAAGTCGTGTGCTTGTTGTTAGCCTCTTGCCAACCAGCAGAATCATATGACAGTGACTATGACTAGGCGGCTCTGAGACGGCGGCATCGTGCCCCATAAGCACCACTAGCCCACTACAGAGGCATTTACTTTGCATGCATGTGTAATCTTTGTCTCAGAAAAAGAAAACACTCCTCCACTCCAAGATACGTAGACAGTACACGCCAAAGTCTTTATTTCCACGGTCGACGACTCAAGCAAGCATCCTTTTGAGTTTTGTGTATAGGACGAAAAACAAGCAAATTTAAGTAGTATACCTACCTAATGATCAGATTCAGTGAGCTACCTGTCCAGTCAACCGAGATTGGTTTCACTTTTTTTTTTAATAATGGAACAAAGTTCCAGCCTCTACCATGAGATTGGTTTCACTTAATCAAAACTTTTGGTTTAGTTACTTTTTATAGTATACTAGCTAGCAAAAATATACCCATGCATTGTAACGGGACTTTCAACTTATTGCCTGATTACCTGGACGGCTTGCGGCTTGGATATTTATTTAGCAATCATGTCATACGTTTCAATTCACCTGGGAATCGAACTCCATACTGGGCATGTGCTGCTCTAACTCGTATGGGTATGTACTGGAGGTTTAGAGACATCGATGATCTTGTCATGTGTTCCAATTCGTTTTTAGGATCAGACTCCGCACCATGCCTGAACACTTAACTCATACTGGCATGGGAGAGAGTAGCGGACTATGGAAACACTTTTTTGTATTCCAATTCGTTTTGGAATCGGACTCTACACCGTGCTTAGACATGCTACTCTAACTTGTACATATAAGGAAGAAGAGATTGAGTCCGTCGGATCCCCCTATTGAATGGTTGTGAGCGATGAAGAAAACGAAGAAACATTTTGCTCTTTAAAATTAGGGAATACATATGTATTCTCTTTGGTCAATATATATGATTTTCTAGAGTATCAAATGTGTTAAAACACCCCGTGATCACCTCCCCATCCAATTTGTTACAACATATCTTCCTCTCATATGTCCTGAACTGCTCTAGCCACACCTCTTATTTCTCCTCGAAACCATATCTTCCTCACCTTAGGCATACAATGAAGTAGGGTTTCAACTAAAATCCATGTTGGTAGCCTTTAGCCTACGACCCCTCCTCATTGCCACATATCATGTTGCGATTTTACCATTGTCACCCCACCCTTCTCCTCGACATCAGTTATATTCTCTACCAACCAAGCTGTTAGGTTTAGCTCCATATCAAAATAATCAATGATGAAGGAGCACAACATATAAGGTGTGATAGCCCTTATCATTCATGCTAGCCTTTTTTTATTGAATTAGGCCTAAGACCTTCGTTTGTTGTGTACTTTGATGATAGATCTGGGTCTGAGGGGGTGCCGACTCCTGGATATATAGCAAGCTAGGCCGGTTTCGCTACGTACTCTAACAAGTGGTATTAGAACCATGGACGGAAAGCCCGAAACATCTATGAGTCACATGGTGATGTAGAAGCCCGTGAACGTCTATGGAGGGTCGCACGAGATACGTGACATGGAGAGTTGGACTCAGAACCTGGATAATATCTTCCGAAGATCACACCAGGGTGTGTGATGTGAAGAGTTGAGCCTAATGTGTGTCACGGGAGATCGTCAAGTTTAGTTTAACATCGGGAATTAATAGCGGAGGGAGCACAACATATAAGGTGAGGAGAACTCTCATCCATCAAGCTAGTCTTTTAGGTTGAGTTAGGTCCAAAACCTTGGTTTGTTGCGGGCACCGATAGACCAGAATTGGGTGTGGCGCCGGTTCATGAGTTTAGTGAGCTAGACTGGATCCGCTCTATGTTCTGTAACCAGCCAACAGTGCCCTGCTACCCCACCCACAAACTGCCTCCAACGTGGAGCCAACTTGCCACCATGACCTTCTCTTTAGCCTTGCTAAACTCATACGAGGCTCCACCTCAACCACAAACACCCTAGCCCAAAGCCATAATAACCTAGAAAAACAACCAATCATAAAACTCTACAAAGCTTAATCCTCTGTCAGAGTGGCCAAGTCGTTCAGTCCATTGAGATTTTTTCTAGACAATAAATAATCCCAATCGTGCACTCCTTTTTTTTTTGTGAAAGAGCCCAAAAATCACCCTACCCTCAGCCCTAAGGTGAGGATTGGTCAAACCTTTTTTGTTTGAAATATATATATATGTGAGAGAATTAGTGACATTAGTCTACCTAGCCAGCTAGACGTTACTGCAGAAAGACAAGCAATGCAGTGGCTTTCACTAGGCTTGTACTCCTAACTAGTCCCATCGTCCATGCTAATGTCGCTAGCTATTAGGAATATCAAATTTGACTGATGCATATTGCATTACCAGCGGCCACTGCTTTGACCAAAACTATATATATTACCATTGTTAACACCACAATCTTGAGCGCATTTCCATGCATGTTGTCATCATTTGGAAGGTGACGCTTCTAACTATGCATGTTTCAAACTGTCTGGTGGTAGCTAAAGTATACACTGGAGTATGTGACAAAGTAGCAGACCTCTAGATTTTCATAACGTGTGTGGCCTAACATGGCATTATGAACAATAGTGAAACCAAAGTCATACTGCTATTCTTGTACTTGAGCCTCTACTAGTCTTCAGAATCCTAACACCAACACACAATGGTCAACCAATTAACATTACATTGGTTTGTCTCATGCCATCAACAACAAACAAACCATTTTAATTTCTAGGTCAAAACAAAATATCTAGAACAAATGTTCATTTGAGTCCAACAGAAGGCTGACTTTGATACACTAGAGCGATAAACATATCTAATTAATGGT